TTCGCCCCTTCCCAGGGCTGGAGATGTAGCCAGGGTGAGCCGTGTGGTGGCTGCCGAAGCTGGAGCCCGGGCCATACCACAGTACTAAAAAATAGCACCTCGGTTCCACCTCCAGACCCAGCACACAGAGTAGCTGCCCACTGAGAGGCCCTGCTTGGAAGCAGCTAGGACTGGGGCTGCGTGGCAGCTAGGGCCAGGACCATGGTACTAAAAATAGCACCATGGTCATGTCTCCTGTTCTAAACTGGAGCAGCTGCCCACCATGCTGCCCCACCCCTACAGCAGGGGCTTGAGGAGGGGGTGCAGATGTCAGGAAAGCAGAAGGTGAGAGTAGGGGCAGGGGGAGAACTAAGGGGAAGGTGGGGGTGAGGAGAGGAAGGGGCTTGTGCTGAGGGGAGAGGAAGGGACCAGGGCAGGAGAAGAAAGGGGCAGGCATCAAGGAGCAGGGTGGAGGAGAGACAAATGCCAAAGGAGACAATGAAGGGAAAGGGCAGGAGGAGCAGCCTGGGGGAGGGTAGGGGGGAGAAGGAAGGGGACAGGGTCATGTTTGGAGAGGAAAGGGGAGGGGCAGAGAGGAGGAGCAATGGGGGTAAGAGGGAGGAAGAGAAGGGAGGAGTCGGTTGCAAGGAGGGGTGGGCATGAGGAAGGCAGAAGATGGAATAAGTCATACGTGTGCGAGGGCGCAGAGGAGCATGAGAGAACTGGGGCAGAGAGTGGTGAGGGGGTGGGCATCAGAGAGGAATAGAGCAAGAATGGGCAGGTGTTGGGAAGGCAGGGGTAGAGAGAGAAGGGGGAGGCAACTGGAGGGTGCTGGGAGTAAGGGAAGGTGCAGGTGCTGGGGGGTTGTGGGGGTGAAGGGCAGACACAGGAAGAGGAGGGGTGTAGGGGTCCTGTCCCTCAGGCACCAGAGGGCAGAGGAGAGAGGCAGGGCAGGTGGGCAGAGGAAGGTGTTAGGAGAGGGGATGGAGAGGGGCAGCTTCAGATGATCATAGTGGGGTGATAGAGGAGAAGATGGGCACAAGGTGGGAAGGAAGGGAAGATGCCAGAGAGGATGGGGAGGGGGGCAGGTCACAGGAGGGCTGAGGGGAGTGAGAATGGCAGGAGCCAGGATGACAGAGGAGGGTGAGGGGTAGGGGGCAGCAGCAAGCACAAGGGGAGCAGATGGGGTGAGGGGAGGGTGGGATACATGGCAGCAGAGGAAAAAGGGAGAGGTTTATAAGATATCTGTTAATAACATGGTTGCTACGGTGGCACATATCCGATCAAACGCACAATACCTCAATATTGGTGCACAAGGTAAAATTCACTCTGCTCATGGATGGAAAATCTTAGAGGGAACACTGAAAAGGAGTCTAATATATTAGACATGGGTGGTATACTGTTCTGTTCTATTCAGCAGTGGTGAGGCCTCAGCTGGAGTATTGTATTCAGTCCTTGGCACTATGCTTTAAGAAACGTGTGGACAAATTTGTTGCCCTTCTCTGGACTCTCCAAACTGATAAAAGGTTTAAAAAAAGCTATGAGGAAGTTAAAAAAACTGGATATTTAGTCTTGAGAAAGAAGATTGATAATAGTAGGCAAATATGTTAATGGCTGTTATAAAAAGAACAGTAATCAGTTGTTCTTCATGTTCACCAAGGATTTGACAAGAAGTAATCTTAATTTTCAGCAAAATATTTAGATTAGAAATTAGGGAAAACTTTCTAACTATAAGGATAGTTTAGCATTGGACTAGGCTTTCAAGAAAGGTTGTGAAATCCCCAACACTGGAGGTTTTGAAGACAGTACCTGTCTGGGTATACTTGGTACTTCCTTGACAGAGGAGGGGTGTGGAGTAGATTATCTCCTGAGGTCCCTTCCTATCCCACATTTCTATGAACAAAATGGTCAGCTCGGTGTGCTTTTATTCTCAGTAGTCTTTCAAAAATCTCTTCTTCAGAGAGAATTCCAATGCCTCCAAGTCCTTCTTCAGAGAAGTGGATAACAGTACTCAGAACTCTACACTCTTAGCTGTCTGGCAGTTCTCAAAATTCCCCTTTTAATTTGTAGATAGGACTACAAATAGGAAAGATTTTGGCTTTCATTATTCTGGCCCTTTCATGCAAATAACACCCTCCCACACAGAGAGACCCATGAGACAACCTTTCCCTTCACTGTGTGCTCTGGAAGTAAAGGCACACAGGTCAAACACTTTTTGGAGGAATGTACCATTTACAGAGATTGTGAGCACTTACTGTGCGCTTTGTTTGTGAAGGGCATTTTCTCAGTGCTTCAAACCATAAGTGCTTCACCAAAGGCATCATTATCAAATCCTACACGAACACTGGCAAGACTCTATGGTGTGCATTATTTTGGAGTTTTTATATATTATAAAACACAAACATTAAGCTGCACAACTGTGGTGAGGCAATATTTCTGGGGATGCCTATGCCAGCAGGGAACAGGGCATTATGGAAAAGGAGAAGATTTTTTAACCATAGATCAACTGCCAAATCTGCAGCTGATGCATGTGAAACCCTTATGATCATATTACTCTAAACCAGTTTCATTGATGAGGCCTACAGCAGAGATCTGAAAAAGGAGGAAGCATCCTACTGAGTGGCCCTTTTCCAGTTAAGCAGGGGCCCCAGTCCCATTGGTACAAGCAATGTGGAGGAGATGGAAGTAATACAAGGTTGCCTACACTCTGCTGCTCTTAAAAGCTATACAGGAGAGGAAGGAAGGTTTACACCTGTTGTACACTTTCTTTATTTGGATTAGGTAATAACTTCTTTGGCTGGGTTCCAAGAACAGAATTGCAGCGTATCTCAATAATCCTAAACCCCACAGGCAAACACTGTGCTAAGGCAGGCACAGGCCAGGAATTTATTTCTCACATTCCTCTTCTACAGGAAGGGGGAAAGGCAATGACTGGTGAAACACGAGCCGCTTAGCTAGAGCTTTCCAATACAAATTCAAATCCTCCTCTTGCAGGGTCCACTTGGGGGGGACCACCCAGAGCACCCTTCTTCCCTCTGTGCCCCTCTAAAGTTTTATTAGTCATCATCTACTTGCTTTCAGTAACAAACACTCATCATTATTTGCACCTAACATGGCACTTTCAATCCACAGAACTCAAACACTCAAAAGGGCTAGGCTCATTATCTCTATTTTACAGGGCAAAGGGAGAGTCAGAAAATCTGAGGCAGAGAGGAAGAAAGAGAAGCAATTTTCACACAAATAGTTGGGACTTAACAAGGAATAGAACTCAGGAGTATCTAGATCCTAGTCTTATACTCAATCATATACACAACAGTAGCTCCACTTGGCTCCTATTCTCAATAACACCAGTCAAAGCTCCATTCAGAATCCTGTAAGCACATTTCCCCTCTAAGAATCACATACAGTCCTCTGTTCAGAATCCAAGCGGTATATTAACCACTAATGCAAATTCCTATGTCTACTTTGATTAGGAAAAAAAATGAAGAGAGAACAGAAGGAAGCCACTCAAGGGAAGAGTGTGTATTGATTGTCCTTCTGTCTTCAAACCCTCAAGTTTTGCATCCAGGTAAAAAAATTAGCCAAACTCATGTCCAATGGAGATTTCTGTACCATCAGGTAATGAACTGTGCCTTGGATAAATGCTTGAAGGGAAACTGCTTTGAGACATCTCCTACTCATCCACCTGTCCTCCCTTCACCATGGCCCTGCCAGCACCTGGACTTGAGGGCTATTTTCATGGGCTCTGTTTCTGATAGGTCTGGGAAGATGCTGGGAACTGTATTTCATTACTCCTAGAACAAGATCTCTTGAGTAAGAAGCTAATGATGAGAAAGAATGCGCTCCAGGCCTCTGTGCACAAAATCCATTTTCCTCAAAGCCAGAAGCAGTTGTTTTAACTTACCTGACTGCTGAGGAGGTAGGCTTGCTGTCAGCTGTGGAAGTATCTGGCTGAACAGCCCAAATTGATACTCCTGTGTTAAGTGCTGATCGGTGGCTCAGTGGGGAGGCTGTGCTCTTTCTGCTTGTAGCTCCACTCGCCAGATTCAAGTTTGCTAACTAAAAAATAAAAAAAGAAAAGACAAAAATAAATCAGGAACTACAAAGAGCTAAGAAAGTAACAGCACATCACCCTGAGAAAGATCCAAAGCATTGGCCAGACAATCTGATAATGGAGGGATGACTCCTGTAGAAACTTTCTCCATTTCCCAAGAGAAAAGCTCTTGGAGTGGAGCAAGCTGTGCTGGGTGCATGAAACACGGTGGATGGCCACTATCAAAGCCACCTCACTTCACATGGCTTCCAGCATCTATGCTTCATTGTAACACGCCCATTCAGTGGTGCATAAGGGCAGGGGTGGAATTCCCAAAGGAAAGCAGCACTGGGCCCCTGCACCACTAATTATAATTCAGAACAATGAAACCACAAAAGTCATAAACCATCTGCAAGCATTTACAAAAGCCAGTTGCTCACCTGGCCCCCCACATCCTTAGGTCACTGAGCCAGATCACTCTATCCATTTAAAATTGACCCATTACCATTTTACTTAGATAAGATTATCAACAAAATCTCTCCCAAATGAGAGAAATTTTCCACTCCCTTTGAAGCTGTTCAACCAATTAGGTAACCTGTCAATTAATGAAAACTCTGAAGTGAGGCAGGGGTTATTGCATTTGTTTGATCAATTTATAAGAAAATTGCACATATATTTAATAACACAAATATTACTTGTTTGACTGTATCCTTCTCCCATTACTTTTCTTGGGTCACTCATCTTCTTGAATGTGCAAACTATGAGCAGGTACTGTCTTACTATATTTGAAGAGCACCCAGCAACAAAGCGTGAATGATTCTAATTACTGCAAAAAAGTATTAAATTGCAAACAACAAACTATGTTAAGGTTGCTAAGTCAAGCACTCGTAAGTTAGGAAATGCTGGAATGTGGGCTCCCAAGGCAACTTTAATTCAGCCCCCATGAGTGTATACATTATAATAAGTCTTTAATTACATGATCACATACTATTCTTTCCATAGGACCTCTGACTTATTCAGTGCACAAAATAGATCTGCTGGTGGAAGATAGAGAAGTGTGAATCAGGATTGTATTGGAGGAGACTGTTGCATGCAGGACATCTGGGTGAAGGCAGCTGAATGCTGACCTGGAGATTTAGATTCTATCCCTGCCTGTGCCACAGGGTTCTTTGTGACATGCTAGTCAAGTAACTAGGGTTGCCAGGTATCCAGTTTTTAACCAGACAGTCCAATATTTGAGCTTTCTGTTCAGGAAACAAATTGAGAAAATATAAATGTCCGGTATTTTCTAAATAAGATGTAATGTAGATTGTGATGTAATGTCAAGTGTGTCCGGTATTTTTGTTAAAATCATCTGGCAACCCTACAAGTAACTTAAACCCAACTCTTCATAGCTAGTCACTGATTGCATATTTCTCATTTTCTAGGTGCCAACTTGAGGCCTTGGGAGTCTGACTTGCGGAAGTGCTGAATGCTCACAGCTGCAACTGAAGTCAGTGGGAGCTGTGTTTTGAACATATAGAGTGCTATCCAATGCTAAGTATTCTGAAAAATGAGATCCCAGGTGTCTCAAACTGGGCATCCAAAATTAGTGGATTCTAACCCTTACTCTCTCTGTGCCTCAATTTGCCACCTGTAAAATGAGGATAATAATACCACTGTCTCTCTCAACTTCACATTGGTCATGAAGGTAAATTAATATTTGTCGAGCACTCAAATACTATGAAGAGAGCACTGAGAAAAGTCCATTTTGAGGAAAGCAGTAATTCTGTCTTCAGAGCAGGGTCTGAATAGCGTACAAGTAAATAAGGCCTGGGAACATACACTGAACAGTGAGAAGATGACAAAATTTTGAATAGCAGCTCAATAAGAAAGCATCATCTGCTCTGTGCACTGAGTGAGATCAGTCTTCTCAAAAAAACAGTATATGATCATGTAATTAAAGATCATCATAATGCATTCACACAAGTGGAACAAATTAAGGCTGCATACACAACTTTTTTTCTAGAATTTTCAAATTTTGAGTGCTTGGCATTGCAAGTATAACTTATTTTAATGTAGTATTTTGTGCGCGCGCGCGCGTGTATGTACTTTCTTAGGTTTTTAAAAATCAATTTGATACCATCCATTTCCCCCACGAATTCCATCATAATGGTATCATATTAATAATCACATGGATCATCAGCAGGGTTGGAATCTTTATATCCACTGCACAGTTCTCTGTCACTTGAGATCCTGTAGTAACTGAAAACAGTAGTAGGATGTCATTCTGTATGTGTACCAGCACTAAAGAAGGACAGGGCACTAGTGATCCCAGACACTTCTGCACATAACCCCTAGACATCACCTCTTCAGGGCCCTCACACAACCTCAGTGTCCATACCCAACATCTTATTCCACCCTCTTTGCCCCTCCAGGCCCAGTTCCCTCCCTGCATCCTAGTTTGTCATCATACCTGGTTCCACTCCTTTCCAGTGCTCCACTGGTTCCCAGACCTAGTCTCTTTGCTCTAATCTGCCATTCATCACATCTTCCAGGCCTAATTTCTTTTCTTCCTCCTCCTTCGCCCCCCAGCATCCAGTCTCCTTGCTTTTATTTATTCCCCACCCCCAACTCCAGCACTCATTTTTCTATATTTGAGTCAAGCAATTTTCTCCTCCATGCTGCCTGGGTCTAGAAGGGGATCATGTAATACAGGAGAGACAAGTTTCCCTTTTCTGTTACAGTGCTGAGCCCTGGCCCTGCACACAGCAGTCCAAAGCTGAAATTACAGAGTATCATGTTTTTTAAACATGATTAAACCAATATATTTTTCCTAACCTCATTTCTCTGAAAATGCAAGCATCTTTGCTGAAAATTTCCCCAAAAATTCAGCCTGAGGCAGATGCCTGCCATTGAAAATTCCAGCCCAAATGGTTAAAGCAACTGAAAACATGGTCTTGGTATGGGAAGTCTTGTGCAAATTAGTTGGTGCTACCAGACCTACCTATATCAATAACAACAAAGATTTGATTATTCTTCCGAGAGAACAAGCACTGGGCCCTTTTGTAGTTCTGTATTAATATGAAGCATTTATATTATAGTAGCAATTTAAGACCAAAAATCAGCTTGTGCCTCATTTTACTAGGCACTAAACAAACATCTAATAAATGACAGTAACTGCCTGTAAATAACTTACAGTCTATAAAGACAAAAGAGAACAGATGGATGAGACAAACACTACAGAATGTATTCAATTCTTAGCCAGTCAGTACTTGTGATAACAACTCTGTTATAGAAGGCCTATGCAGTGGGGACTTGATCCAGCCTTGAACTACACCAATATCAAGGTTAATTTAGTGACATATAACAACTCTCTACCCCTCATCTGAAACCTAGGTGCATGTTTCTCTCTGATACCCTAATATTGTTTATTTTAAAGCTGTCTTTACAAGCAGATGAGCAACTAGGTGAGTGTGACGGGTAAGGACATTTCACACATTCCAGCTAGACAGGTGTTTAAATTACAGCAGGATTAAATACAGGCAACAGATTCATACAGAAACATAAAGAAAGAGTGAAGATTACTTGCAGCCAGCCCACCTGCTTGATTGCAATGGTTTGTTACTGCTCCATGGTCTGGTAAATTTCAGGTACTAAAATTAGTCTGTCAGAAATTTAGTAGGGCAGATTACTGAGTATCCCTCACCAAACAGCTTGACCTTGTTTTTTCTAGTGGTGACTGTCAGTACTGGTTATCTGATGAACTTCCCACAATGTTTCAGACACAGGGAAATATTTAGCAACAGATGAGTTTGGGCAAGCAAGAGCACAGTACCCTGCCCAAAAGCTGGAGAAGAAACTCCTTTAAGAATAATCTTCCATTTCAGGGATACAAACTGGAGCGCACAGATCAGCAGGACTAGTGGTGCTCAAATAGGGAACTGGTGATTGTTTGAAACTAAGGCAAAATCTGATTGACCTGATTTGTATACTGAGCTGAATTCACATGTGGACCATAACAAGTTGGACACTTGAACCCAAGTACAGCATTAGATTAGCCCTACTTCTGGTTTCTCCATTAGTGCAAGTCTCCATTTTAACTGTCTAGGGAGTTCAGAGGGACCTCAGCAGACAGTGAACCACTTGTATTCACTGCAGCTCTCTCTATTCACCTGTCCCAGCTTTCGGTGTGGATCAATTTAAATTAAATTAAGTAGAAAAGGTGTTCTAGAAATAGAGCTGGGAGTCAGCTTAAAAAGTACAGCCTCTCACCACTCTACAACATGACCTGCTCTAGTGCTTTCCCCAAGGATCCTTCTCAACCCCAAGGAGGGAATGAAAAGTCCTGCTGCCTTGGAGCATAGCACTCCAATTCTGCAAAATTCTTTGGCAGCTCACTATGCATCCTACAACCCCATCTCCTTTAAGAGCATGCTAGTGAGAAAACTTTCTTCTTTCAGACTGACTAGGCAGATTACTGCTCTCTACTGTGTCATACGGAACAAGATCACAGCACCCTATCTGGGCCCAGACAGAGGAACATTCCACTAGCAAAATCAGAGGCTGAAAAATGTTACACCCCCTCACCAGGACTTTTTCATACCAGAAAAGCTAAGATGTGCTATCTGAAAGGCCACAGGACTTGACACTGCCACTTTTTGCTAGCAGATAGTGAATACAGACAAGTAGTCAAGCCCCATTCAATTCCCGCCCGGGTTCTGTAAGACAAAACATTGAGCAGCAATGGTGCACCATTGGAGATGATGAAATAACTTAGACTTCTCTTTGTGGAATGCACATTCCCACACATCTTCTCATGGATGCCCCCTTCCCAAGCACAAATGGAATAGTTAAAGGGTTGTAATTTAGGACTGAGAGGCAGCAGCAGAGTTTTAGTGAAGGGAGATGCCTTAGCATCTACTAGGAAATGTTTTATGAACTAACTTTCCAAGTTTTATTTGGAACAGATTTTCCTGTAGAAGCTGACTGATAAAATTAAAGTTGGCATTCAACAGTAATTACTCTGACAAGCATCTAACCCACC